GCTACATTTCATGAAGCTATTTTTAGTCTTTCAAAACAAATGTTATTGCTTTATATAAATGCTTTAGAAGTGTGCAAGTGAGGCAAGCGGGCTGAGACCCAGAAAAAAATTGAAACTTTTTGGTTTGGCGCAGTCACTGAGTCCCTCCCTTCCAACCACAAGGAGCAGTAACACCCTACGCACCCAAAGCGCGTCTCCTTGCGCCGCAGCTTGGCCACGTAAACAGCCAGGAACACAGCTATGGACACAGCGCCGGTAATGGCCATCACCACATAAAACCAGTGCCAGGAAAAGGCCGGGGGCGATGATGGACCTGAAGGAAAGGGTGTGGATGGAGCGTTTAGTAGTGTAGGTCTTGTAATTTGGAGTGGGGATTTAGGAGTTTAAAGCAGTAATTAAGTTATTTTATCAGAGAAGAAAGAAGACATGATTTGTGTAAGTCATATTAGCTAGACGACAAAAAGCATGCTGAAATATACACGCTGAATTGTTGGGAATAATGGTATGAATCAAGTGAAGAAAGTGACAAAGCAAACTCTTTAAGCTAAATCGAAAAGTCCTTTTTTTCCTAAAAATATAGTCATTTTCTTCACTCTAGAAATACTTTGCTGTGCCATTTCCCACACTGAAATTTACTCTCCAGTCACTGCCACAATCTACTGCTGAACACTCACAAACTCTACCCAGTGTTTACAACTTCTCTTTCTTTTCATACTCATCCTCCACGACTTTGCTTGCTGGTTTTTCTCCTTTCATTTGCCATTTTGTTGTTTGAACTGTCTGTCTAGCTCTGTTAGACAAAGCAAACAGAGATGCTCACTGCTCCTGCCAGTTATAAATATTTATGATTCTTCTCCTCATTCAGCCCCATACCCCTCTTCCCCTTTCCCTTCTCTGTGAGATCATCTTCTCTTTTTTTTCTCTTCCTTCCCTTTTGTCTCAAAATACACAGTGAAACAGACTAAGAAGAAGTAGTCCAGTTATGGAGAAAAAAAACATGAGCTCACGTCCACTATCACTGTCATTGTGTGCTACTCAGAGAGGTGACAGAAGAATGTTTGTATGTGTACATAAATCCAGTCATTGCTCACCTCTAAATTCACCCATTTCTGCTGGTGTAAAAAATAGAGAGCACGTGTTAATATTTTGACTTTTCAAAACAGATCACATCAAGTATATTTTAGCAACCACAATTTCATCAAACGAAATCATTGCTTTATAAGAATAATACGTTAATCACACCCGTTGCAATAAATGACGATTTCGTTACTCACCAGGAACGTTGAGTGTCAGAGTCTGAATGGGTGCCCAGGGTCCTTGACCCGCCCCTGTATAGGCACACACTCGGAAAGAGACATTGGACAGGGGGACAGACAGATTGATTGCGAACTCAGTGCCCAATCCAGTATTGACGACAACCTGAAAGAAAAAATCGGTCTGTCATTATTAAGAAAAATGGACATTTTCTCCATGCATTTGTAAATTTAGCAACTTTGCTGACTGTGAATGTGTTCCTCACCTGCTGAGTAGCAGGTGTGCTGTACTCCACCATGTAACCTTGCAGCTGCCCATTTAGTTTTCCTGGTGGCTCCTCCCACATTACTAGTACCTCCGTCCCATTTAACTTAGCAGTCACATTAGCTGGTGGATTTTCAGGCACTGAAAAAGAAAAACAACAACAAAGCTCTGAAGCATCTCAGTTTTCTCTCTCCCTCATGCAGACTAGGATTGCTCAGTTTTCCTGTTTATCCCTCTGTGTTACCTTGCCCACTGGTAGGTGGAATTAATCAGTGCATCTGGGAGCACCTGTCCGCTTAACTTGTGTCTTTCACACAACTTGTAATGACTCATGGAAACACTCACAGCCATTTTTATTTAAAATTATTGTAAGTGCACCATCAGTGCTTTAACTAATGTGGCTAAGTGGCCTGTGTCCGGCGGACTGGAGTTAGCCAGGCATGTGTTGTTTTGACAGCTTAGAGCCTCTAGGGTGTGGATAACTCAAGCAGCTGGAGGGAGAAGATGTCAAAGAATGTGGAGAATTTGGCTTTATTAGGACAAAAAGGCATCTGAGGGCACCGCAGACAGGGGTGATTAGTCGAGTTCAGAAGCTGCTCGGGTCTTTCTTTGTCATTATGGTTCAGTAAAGTCCTGTGTCTACTTCACTTCATGCAGTTCCTTTTCTGTTGGCCATTCCTGTTATTGTTTTATTCATATTTGTCTGGCTTTGTTTTTGGCATTCAGGAGAAGAGAGGGGAAAAAAGGCATCTGGCTACCAAAATACCCACTGGAGAGAAAATCTAGCTGAATAACATGCTAGAAATAGTGTGAGGAATTTATGCACTGTGTGTCTAGTGTGTGTGTGTGCGGATATGTGACTGATGCACTGTTTAGGACAGAAAACCAAGAAAACTTTCAATAAGAAGAAGTGAAGGCTTATTTCCTGTGTTAGTGTTTAAAGCTTACTTTGTGTTTGCTTCTCACTCTTGGTATGCTCCCAAAGTCACACAAACAAGCTGGACACCCACACACACCCACGCATGAGCTAAGTCACCGTGCGTTTGGGAAACACAGCCCAGCCCTATGGATGATGTTATCAGGAAGCGTTTGGCGGGTGATTGTTTCCACATGTGGTCCTTATTCTTCCTGCCAGCGGCAACAAAAGCAAACTCTAAGTCAAGTTTGTTCCAGCAGTTCGGCTCCGCATTTGCTTAATCATCTGTCGGACTTTCTCTCTCTGCGTTCTCCACCTCTTTGTTGCCCATACTCTTTTACTCTCCTTCTCATTTTCTCTCTTTCCCTGACTTCTATCCAACACAATTCCATCGTCTTCTCTCCAAGTTTTCTTCTCCTTCATTGCTCGCCCTGTTTTAATGCCCTTCTTTGTTCATGGAGTGGCGAGTTCAAGTGAACAGACATGTTGATGTAAAATGTAGGATTAAAAAAAGAGTTTCCCTTGGACAAAAATAATTAGATTTGCAAACTTCAAAAAAGGAAATGAGATGTTTATTTGTGCTTTTTCAAAAATGCCTCATGTTTTTTATTCTTCTGAAAGAATGGAAAGCAAGCCCTGACTTGGCAAGAGATTGAGAAAGAAACTCTTGAGCCACAATTAGTTCACTACAGCAAAGGTTCAGAAACTTACTGTTTCACATCCTGTTAGGGGTGAAGAAAGTGTCAAATGATCAGATTTGGAAGATTTTGAAAAGTTGTTTGAAAGCAGCGATTTGACTCTTTCCTTATTCTTTATTCTTTTTTCCATTCTTACAGGCTGTAGGCCCTGTGTATGGAAAAAGGTCATCCTTAAGCCAGAAACTGACTGGTTCCCATGCATGAGAACCAAGAAAGCTCTACACAGGAAACATGTGCAACACAAATGTTAGTGTCATCAAAAATGTCTTAACTTTTAAGGCCATCCACCTTCTTTCAATTTAACAGCACAACCGACTGCTGTCTGTCTGGGAAAAAGAGTCACTTAATGCTTGAGAATGCATTTTTGTTGGCAATAGTATTAAGCAGGATTAAACGTGACACGTGTGCACATTGGGGTATGTCATCATGACTCACTTCCATTGGGACAGTGAATCGGGCTGTTCTGTGACTGTTTATTACATCTCTTTGGGGGTACAGACTGACGTTATGCAAGGTGTGTGCAGAGAGTCAGGACTCCATTAACAGCCATTTAGTTTCTTAGTAACTGATTCTTTGTTTATTCTGTCTGTGTGTTTGTGATTTTTTTATTCTGGGGTTCTTTTCAGACAAATAAAATAGACTTGTGGTATGTAAAGAAACGCAATAAATGTAAAATCTCATCTCGTCGCAGCGTTAGGATTAGCGGGGTGACATGGGTCGACTCGCTTCCTCTCCCTCTGACCAGCCCTACCCCCTCGTCCTCCTGGGAAAAAAGTAGACTGAGAAAATAGCTAGATGAGTGTTTTCTCAAAGCACCCCCTTCTCCCATTTTTTTTCTGCTCTTCCATCCAGTCCTTCCCTACTCTCACCACCACCACCACTTTTTCCCTTTTTCCCACAGTGCCTCGCTCTGTGTTCTGGAAAGGAAAATCATAAGTCAACTGAGGTTAAAAAAAAAAGGGGGGGGGTGAAAGATGAAGGAGTCAAGCTGAAAAACTGGATTCAGAAAAACTTGTTCAGCTTGTTCGGGGTGCAGGAAATCACATCCTCAGCAATGTTTGTTGGATGAGGTAGAAAACACTGGCTGAAAGATAAATGAGTAAAAGCAAGCCCAGTTCTTCTGGAGGAACCAGATGAAGGACATAAATGGAGAGAGAGTTCAGCATATATGCACAATTTATGAGGGATTTAAGGAGGCAGAAAGCTACAGAAGGCTTCAGGCTCAAGAGAAAAACCTTGTGGGAGTTTGTCAGACACTTCAGCAATGAAGCACATGGAAAATGTGGAAAATATTGCTGTGCTGTAAACAGCCAAACTCTCTCTATTATTCTCTAACTCAGTTTACCCTTAATGCCTCCTGAACTATTTTTCTCAAAAGCTAAATGTTATGTTTCATATGTTGTCTTTTTTTTCCTGTGAAACGAAATGAAGATTGCTTTAGCTCAAAAAAAAGAACTGAAAATTCTGCTTGTTCGAGGACTGCTTCCCTTTTGCGTCTTACATTTATGAGAAAATGAGAAATACTGTGTTTACAGATTACAAGCAGCTTCCCTCATGGAAACCCCCAATCACTGCTCCTGTGGCATGTCTCCACTCTCCATTCCTATTTATCCAGGGATACAGAAAGCATGAGCTGGCATGGAAAATCCCACCTCAGTCTAAACTCAAACACAGGCTAGCATTAGAGTTTGGACAGAGTGCTGCAATCCTAACTGAAGCCTTTCAGGAGAATTTAGCATCTACCTTCCTTTTCCCATCACAGCCTTTTCTGTCCCTTCAGCGCCAGTCAGCCTTCTACTTCAAGAGTTTATATTTAAAGCTGGGTTCACAGTCACTCACATCTGGTAACCTTCATGAACACAGACTAAGGAAAAGGGGCACAGTAAGGAATATTATGACTAATGGTGCACTGTAAACTAATTCCCTAACTCCATGTTATCAGAGTTCAGAATAAGTCTTGACTTATAATGATCCAAGTTGAAAATAATTCAAAAGACTCTGCAGGGAATTACATCCACCTTAAAATAGATCCAGAAAAAAATGGGTCGTGGGGCTAAAACACTCATGTAAGTGCAGTGCTGCTGAGGAACTTTTGCCAGCTTGAATTCTAGACAAGACAGAAAACAGTCAAAGTGACTCATAAGTGCCCAAAGCATAAGACAGCAATGAAACACAGCTGGAGTATATTAACTACATCTTAAACATAACATAGTATCAGATATGCAGACCTAATAAGTGAATTAGACTTAAGTCAGAGTTCCAGACCTATGAATTGGGCTTTAATCGACTTTGTCATCCTGGAACAGAACAGCTAGGCCCTGTGAAGCCATCATCTTTATTATTACTGTTTTAGTCCCATTGAATAGGCGTAGCTGAGAAAACAACACTAACACATGTTCAGTGTGACTGAGGGCATCATTATGTTAGCATATACTTGCACATTTAGCAGTAAAAGTATCCCGCTGGCATTTGTTTGAAATGCACTTATAGAAAAATGACCCTTACTACAGAACAAAAACACCATAAAAAGCAACTCAGTGGTGTTTTTGTTACTGTGTAGATTCTGTCCTGGTCTGGTTACAGTTCACAGAGCCTTGACCTTGAAATACTTATGAAGAAATAATCTCACACACAGCGACATAAAAAGATGCACACATCCGGACAAGACATCCTTGGTGAAAACAAACAACTCTGCAAAACTAACCTCCTTCTTTGGTACGTAGCTCCACCCAGGGAGACCAATCAGATGGGCCTTGGCTGCTATGGCAGGCCACTCTGACAGCATAGAGGGTGTGAGGCTCCAGGTCTTTGATGATGTGTGAGGATCGTGGCATGGACACAGTCTGATTATGGATCAGCTGATGTGGGCCTGCTATGATGGACTCTCCTGAATGTTTTGCCTGGAACATTAAGATGATAAACATTATACTTTGTATACTTTGTAATCAGCGTTTCCTATTAATCAGATTTACTGGTTTACGTGCAAACAAGAAGATGATGTGCTGTTTTTGAGTCCAAACAATGACTGAAAACGATATAAGAAGAAAATAGAAAATCACTTTGAGCCATGCCAATCTCTTTAACAAATCAAGGAATTTCTGTATGCATCTCTGTGCTTTGCTTGTTTATTTAAATTTCTTCACAGACAGGCGAACTGGTTGTGCAGACAAAATGGAAAAAACTGAATTCTTGTCTGCAGTTTCTTAAGCTATTATTTGTTGCTGCTGCTGGTGGTGGTGGGGTCATTAAGTGTTAATTTTTAACAATGCTGTAAAATGCTCCTTTGCTGCTCTGAACAAAAGCCAAACTCAGCAAGGTAGACTAAAAGCAGAACCCGCCAACCAGACATCACAGGCAGAAACCTGCTGTCTCTGCAAAGTCTTTATGGTAAACACATTTAAAGAGGAACACTAGAAAACAAAAGCTTCTCTGCAGCAATTTTATAACCACATTAAAGTTGCTGGTGTAGGCCATTATTCTGCAGCATTGTTCATTATCAACAAACTTGTTTGAAATGGGTGCAGTTCACAGGTAGAGTTAAAAACATTATAAATAATATGTCTAAAAATGAGCAGCCACACAAACAGATGTTTGTAGCAGGTGCTGATGTGGACTGTTTTACAATATAAAGCAGGGAGGGGTAGAGGAGGAGTTATGGCACGAAAAGAAAAGCAAAATCTCTTTCATTTAAAACTAGGCAAGCAAAAGGCTCTGAACTAGAGAATTAGCACAAAAACAAAACATGAGCAGTCAGAGGTCATGTGCTATAGGAAGCTTAAGTCTTTTTCCTTACGGCATGAGTTAGACATCTGAGGATGTCTTCAGTTGCATGAATGAGGAGAACTGTATGAATGTGTGTGGGTTTGTGAAAGCTCGATGAATCACCGTCCAGCCTGCAAAACAAGTGTGTTTAATCTAATAGTACAACTCAGCCCTGAGTCACACTCCAGCATGCATTCCCCCTTGTATGGCTCAGACCCACAATACCGGCTGTCACTGACTTTTCCTGTTTTCTTTTAACAACTTTCTCCACGCCTTTCTTTCCTTCTTTCACCTCTCTAAACCATTGCCTTTTCATGTTTCTCTTCACTACACAAACTACCGTTAAATTCAGCTTTTTGCCCCATTCTCCTGAAGTAGGCCCCTTTTCTTTTCCCCCTACAAGGGTAAAGGGGTTAGAGAGAGATGGAGGAAGGGAGGGGGCAATAGTATCAAGAGGTATGAGGGGCAGCTTTATTAGAACCAGACGTTTAGGGGTGGTGCTGCAGTGTTCCCTTCTCCAGGAGAAAATTTTCCTCCTCTCAGCTATGAGCTATAACGGCCTAAAAGCATGATAGTGGCAGAGAGACACTTACAGAAAGAAAGAGAGGGAGGGAGCGGCCCTACATAAGTCCAAGAGGCCACTTTCCCAGAGTGAAACATGACCCACTGGTACATGAATAAAGCAGGGAGGGGTAGAGGATGAGTTATGGCAAGAAAAGAAAAGCAAAATCTCTTGTCTTTAAAACTAGGCTAGCAAAAGGCTCTGAACTAGAGATTTAGCAAACAGAGGAGTCAACGATCAATTGTTAACAGGTAGAAACAACAAACAGCTGCTGTGGTTATTCCAGCTAGTTGTGCTATTCACATCTCCCACATTTACATCTAGTTTTTCTCACCTGAACAGAACAGTTGACTATCTGGTAGATACCTCCGAAACCAGGTTCCCACGATAAATGAAGTGCGGACTGAGTGATCTCTACAGCTCTCACATCCTGAGGTTTGTTGGGGAGAACTAAACAACAACAAAAAAAACCCCAAAATTAAAGATGTAAACATAATTATATGCAGATAAACTAGCAATGGCTGAAGTGACACTGCTTGCATGGGCTGACACCTACCAGTGATGGTACCAGATCGGGAACTGGCCACACCCTTACGGTTCTGGGCCTCACAAGAGAAGGTGCTGGTCCTGTTCAGGCCTGGACAGAGAAGTGAAACATGCAGGTGTGAGGAGGAAACACTTCAGTATGCTGAGTTGCATGTGATGTCAATGTGAGAAAAATATAACTAGAGTGAGAATAGCATGAGGGTAAAAGTTTCCATTCAGTAACATCCTCTGTTTGTCAGTAGTATTAGGTAGTAGGGTGCTTCTTCCTGAGAGTGTAATTGGTCGTTAATTCAGGAAAGACTTACAGATTTTACATTTTGATTTGTGGTGTAAAAAAGTGAAAAAATGTGCAGCTGCTTCAGCTTTGGCAAGACAAGACAGTGTTAAACTTTTATACCTTATCGAAACGTTTCAAGAAATTAACTTTATTCCATTGTGAACAATGAATCTTAATGTGAGTAAATACATGCAGAAATCAGGTTTACTTGTTGCACATGTTTAAGCAACGAGAGCTGACCAAAGCTGTGTACTAACACAAATAAAAGAGAGGAAGAAAGAGCAGGATAAAAAAGTGTAGTAGGAATTTCAATAATAGAATATCAATTACTATAATATTAAGTTTGATCAAGCCAATAAAAAGCCATATAAAGCACAGGTGGAGATTTGCTGATATTCAGGTTGAAAGACATCAAAAATGTGCTTATTCTGGTATAAATCATAATATTTTTAGGACTTGGATGTAGTTTTGATTAAATAATTTTTTTCTCAATTGGCTACTATAACCAATATGATTTTTCACAAGATCATCAAAAAAAAACCCATTCTGGTTTTAACTGCTATTTGACGTAATTTGAGGTTTGGTTTTTCAAAACTGCAGCTTCATGATAAAGCAAAAGTTTCAGGAGTTGCGAATGCTTTTTGCTTTGTAGGCTGGAGAACAAAGAGTGCAGCCTAGCTGAAGTCTAGGTGTAATATGCTGAGCTGCTGCCTTCAAGAGGAGCTGGGGCTCCCGTGAAGGGGGAAAACAAGTATGACACACTGACATTCAGCAGAGAATGAGTCCTCTGACAAAGTGACTCACAGCGTGCTCACACATTGAGCATTTTGTAATGCAACACAGGCCTACACACACAGACAGACAGTGAAACATGTGACATTCAAGTTTATCACTGTTATCTAACACCCCAACATTGTCAATAAGCCACAAGCTGAGAGTGACAGAATCATGCAGTGTGTTTGTCCTGCGCCGACGGCACCATGCCTCCATTGTGCCGTGGCCGGAAAAAGAACAGGGGGTACGATCCTCGCTGGCTGTAGTGAGGGGTTGTGAGAGGGGGAAAGGAGGGAGGGCAGCGTGGGCTGACCACTGGCTGTGTGCGACAGTGAACTGCTCATCAAGCCAGATTGCGCCACTTGCTCGTGTCTCCTTCCTTCCTCATCAGAAAACCACAAAACAACATCCTTTAACAGCTGGAAATGTCATAATCTGTTACTAGGAGGAACCTCATGATCCGTGCAGTATTGACCAACAGTGTCAGCTGGGAAAGGCAGTGCATGGCTTTGGTACTTTTTTTTTTTTGCTAGACTAACATTTTCTGTGAACAAAGTAATAGTATTAGATTTCTCAACTTTCTTAAAAGGAACTGGGATTGTGAATACTTTAATGGTTCATGAATAACCAAAATGGTTCAGAACTGAAGGAGAAATGAAACTGATAATGAAGTTGAAAGCATTGACTTTAGCAGGGGAGTAAACCAAATATGCAACATGAATTTATTTTGATGAATAGATTTTTTTGCCCAAGACACAATAAAAAAAGAAAAAGAAGAAAGAAGAACAGTTTATGAGGACTTCTCACATCATGAAGCCACACGTGTATGGCTCTTGGTTTCTTGCTGGTTGGAATGCACTTCATTCCATTTCTCTTTATGGGCTCCTTGAAAGATTATTTGTGTTTGCCTTGGTTTGGATCTGTGGTCTGCCAGGCCAGCTGTCCATACCAGAGTTGTGAGTGTAGGTTACCATCAATCGGGTCCTAGTCAACACCATGCAGCCTGCTCCGATGAGTCAAACCAGAGCCTTCAACTGAACTTCAACCGCTGCTTACTCCTCCCTTTTTCCTTCTGACTCAGCCTCCTCTGTTTTTCAGCCTACCACTGGTAGGCTAGCTGACAGGCATCTGTAGTTTGCATTCAAGCAGCAACAGAACCCCCCTCCTTTATCTCCTTCTTTCTTTTATCTCCTTATGTCCTCTGCACATCAATTTTCCATCTCCCAATTTCCCAATTGTCCTTTCTGTGCTTGCTGCTCCTTTTTACCCACAAAACCACAAGGCATGTCCTCAATGGATTCACTGGCAATGTGCCAGCCTGGCTCTCTCTGGGGAGGGTGGTTATTCGGTAGTATTGTTTTGGCCATGAAAGGAGGATTTGAAAGTATTTCAAACACAGGAGATAGTTGCTATGCAGTTTTTGAAGCAGGTCATTATAACCAGTCTAAATAGATTAGATTCAAAAACTCAACTCTGAACCACAACCTCTTGAAGGAGGACTTTTTACTCGTCTAATATTTAATTCCCATATTATTATTATTTTTTACCTGCTGAAATTAACATTTGTAACTTATTAATCATTTAAGTAATTAATCTTCTCAGTTTTTAAAATGTGAGGACCCACTTCTCTTGCCAACATGTCAAGTTTGGGGAGAATGTTTTTCTTTCTTTTTTTAAAAACTTTTTTTTAACTTGATCGTTTGTTATTGTTTTTATTTTCTCCTGTCCATTTCACTGTCATGTCAAATGAGGATTTGAGAAATCTGTTTGTTTAAACTGGAATAACTAGGTTGCTGTGCTTGACTGAGTAAAACATGATACCTGTGAGGTTGAGGGTTGAGGGTGAGAGGGCCACTGGATCCGACAAAGAATTCAGAGGATGGCCATCCTGTAGCCAGATGACCCTGACTGGTTCAGGAGGCCCGTGGGCTGCACAGTGAAGGCTGAAGGAGACATTCGCCACGACAGTCATGTGGTAGGGCTCCAAAGAAAAATGAGGAAGGCCTGAGAAAGACTTAGCTGAGTCAGGGTCTCCACTCCTTTAAACAATCCAAATCTATAGACTTCTGTAGCTGTGGTTGTTTAATAACTCACCTTCCAGCTGAATACCACCCTCATCAGAAAAGGTCTCATTGCTTCCTGATAGAACAGCGCATTTGTAGTAGCCCATGTCAGGGAGCTGGACTTTCTCAATTCTGTTATGTATATAAAGAGGAATATTTTCAAAGGTTTTGTAAAGAGCAGAAAATGTCAAAGCAAACTGGTAATACAGGGAGCTGATGTTTACTTTCTTTCTAAATTTAACATTCAGTCATGCCTGAATAAAATATTTCAAGTTACAGCAGATTAGACAAATGTGATTTTCCTTGGATTGCATAATTTCTTTGAGAATTGATTTCTCTGGTTCTCTACTGAGAGTGGAAGTCAACATGGTGACATAATCCAGCAACAGCCCTGTTTGAGCTAGAAACAAGACGGGGTGGAAGAACAGGAAATAAACACATTTTTAGACCAGGTGTGACTGCTTCACAATACATAAGAAACTTCCACATGTTAGCAGTCAAAACTGCATCCTACCTGAGTGTGCTTATGATAGTCCTACTGTTGCTGCCAGTAAGAACTTGGTATTGATTATTTTCTGCATGCTCCAGTGGCACACCATCTTTCAGCCAGATCACATCAGGGGACTCCACGTCCTCACTCCCTTTACCATTCAATTTGCACTGCAATGTAACAGGTTTGCCCAGTGAAGAGATGACAGTAGTGGGACTCTTTACAAACTCCAAATCTTTGAGAGAGGAAAGAAGCAGAAGAACAGGTTAGCATTTTTCAAATGCAAATTTTTTGCAGTCCAAAAAACTGAAAACGTATCTTCAAAGAACAAGATTTCCCGCTCTTCTCTTTTCTATAGAATCTGTGCAGCTACAAACTGAGCGTAGCATTACTTCAGACAATGTTTAGCTTTGTCTGCAGTCTTGTTACATCAACAGCTGATCTCAGTCCAGCCCAAAAAACCTACTGCTGGCTCAGATGGTACCCTTCTGTGCATTCTTCAGGCAGATATCATACAGGCAACACCATGTCCTGTTCCTGCAAGCTGCTTTGCAACCCACCATAACCCCCAATGCCTTCATTTCATCTTTTGCTTGACCTTAATGTGATGTATGTTGTCACTTTGTTGATGCTTGCTTAGAGCTGTACATGTTTGTCTTGCTGTTTCTTTCATAGGACATAATTTTTCTATCACAAACAGTCATTACTAGAAATGAAAGGTTCACTCTTTTTTTTGGGCTAAAGTGGTCCTGACTCAACTGTGATTGTTCTGCATGCATGTGCATGACACCTTTCAGTAGTTTAATTCACATAATTAGATTAACTACATTAATCATGTCATCTATCCAATATAAAACAAAAATAAAGAAAATGCCCAAGACAAACTCCCATAGATTAAGGTGAAATAGTCCAAACAACAATTCAAAACCCAAAGATATTTAAATTACAGTGACGCAAAACACAGAAAAGTAGTAAATCTCCACAAGCAGCAAGTAGCAAATTTTGGTTTAATAAATGTCTGGAACATTAAATCATAAACAGAATTGCTGTTGTCCTATTAATCAATCAGCTAATATGTCCAGCACTAAAGTGTTCATTTGGTTCTGTCTGATAAATATTTATTGCTTGTGACAGGCTTACTTTTGCAGTTGCTAGGATATGATAACCCGAGCTTTTCAAAGACTCTGGTTATCTCGTGCTCCCACTGATAGTGAGGCTGACCTGAGAAGGGCAGCACTGATACTGAGACAAAGGCTTCTTGTTAGAGGAAGGTTGCCTATGTTGCTTAAACAATATCTGAGAACTGAGAGCCCAACACAAACTAAACGTAATTATAATCACAGCTTCTTCATAGCAGTATTCACAGACCTGCAGCCTATAGATGTCTGATGTCAGAAAAATGTTGAAAACGGGGATCCTTCTTTTTTTTTTACCTTCTGAAACTTTCAATGATAATGAATTAGAATACGTAACTTAAAAACCCAGATTTTCTTTAAACCATCAAACTGGCAAGCGCACATAAGATGTGCACAGATTTGTGATACAAGAATTCTTTTCTTTCTTTCGCAGCATCACAAAAAAATGCAAAGCATCCACTCAACCAACCAAGCCAAGGCAACTCCTTGTAGATAAAGAAAACATAAATCATTTGAGGATGAGCAAACTTGGTTTTCAGAGCAAGAATGAAAAAGCAAGATTTTCTCAAGCTTGTCAACACGCCCTCCTCGTCTATTTCATGGTCACCTTTCAACCTTTGACCCTTTACAAAGACCCCAAAGACCCATTTCACTATAACACATAAATGCCCATAATTCAACAACCAAAAACAGATTTAAAATGCACCTTTTTGCAGTACTCACTTTACTCTTAACTATAACATGTCTTGACAGAGTGTGTGCTTCCCCACCTCTTTGTCTCTGTGTGTTTTCTGGCATTAAAAGTCATTCATCCCTTTATTTTTTAAGCTTGGCTGAGCTCTTTCAATATTCTACATGACCCTGGCTTTGCCCCCCCCCCCCCCAAGGCAATGAAACAAAAAAAGCCTCATTTTCTCTCTCTGTATCTTTTTTTGCTGAATTCATATAATAATAACCTTGTAAACATTTTACAAGATTGCAGACAGACAGAGAGAGGAGGCTACAGACAAACTGTGAGTCTCTGTTTGTGTGTGGCCTGTCTCCACTGATTCATTGGTGCCTAACTACTTCATCGCCTCCCTATTGTTCCCCGAATTCCCTTCAGGTCCCCCACTTCTTCCCTGATCTTTTCTTTCCACCCTGCCTCTACTCCTACTCTCCACTCTGTGAGAATGCTCAGATGTTAAATGTCATTGGTTGTGCACATACCAAAAATGTCTGACACAGTCTTAAGCATTTATCCTCCTCTCACTCCCTGCTTTATCCTCCTGCATTTTTAACAGTGTGGAATCCATTCACTGCCGCGCCTTTGCCCTTTCTCCTTTTCATGCCATTCATTGGATTCATCACTACACATTTTGCCACCTCCCCTCCAAACTCTCTACTCTTGCCCTCGTACCCCATCCATCATTGGATTGGAGTCTGAGTCAGACAAGCTCTGACTCACAAACCAAAGCATTTGGCCCCCTGAACCCCCCCTCATCCTTCACATCCTCACATCCAAATAGGAACTGAGACACCGGAATAAAATTCTCCATTCTTCACATCGGTGTCTAGTAATCTCCCTGCCTGCTAGTCATACATATACTGAGGGCAGGTGCCCAAGAGACAGAGTGACTGCAATTGTCAAAACACATAAGCTGACAGGTGGACGTCCCTGTAGGGATACTGTTTTCATCGACTGGGTGCAATTGAAAGTTCCCAAACAGTCAGTAAAGTTTGTTTTAAAAGATAATTAACATACTTTTGAAATGATTCTGTATAGTGTAGAAAGACTATTTTCTTAAGAAAGCAGAAATTTGGCTTTTATCTTTCATCTTTGGCGTTCAGCAAACATTCTCTTTGCTGATTATGATTCACCCTTGTCTCAAGATATTTACATTAAATGCCCACCTTTCACTTCTATCAAATCACATCTATCAAATTCCAAATCTTGTTCACTTGAACTCCCAGCATGAATAAACATTGATCACCTGATTTCAGAAACATTGCCCTTGAGCAGTTAGTGTTACTGGTTGTTACCTGTTAGGTAAAACTCCCCCTCACTTACTTTGATTGTATTATAATATAATAATAGTATACAATAATATTAATCCTTTATTGCTTTTGATAACATTTTTTTTTTTTATGTTGGCCAGATGTTGAACGCCCCTGCAGCTGTGGTTAGCCAAAAACAAATTGAGTTAACGAGGCAGAGAGCTGACTGTGCTAATTGCT